ACTTGAAATATAGTGCATAATAAGTTGTATAAACTACTTTTAGGATCCATTTAATTATATTTGGAGCTTGATAGAATCTGTCAGTTATATTAATATCTTAATCTTAAATATCTTTTTTTGGCTGTGTGTGTGTTGGTGAACTACCTCAACTAAGAAGTACAGACGAATGCAACTGAGAGTTACGTTTTCATTTTTCTTTTATTGTCAGAGTTATATCTGCCTCACTCAGAAAAAGAAAGCAAAGGAATCCATTTCCTCTGGGGAACGACACACACATCAAGCTGTTTCTTCAGCCAAGACTACAATATTTGAACAACTCACTCTCTGGCAGCTCATGCATTAATATAATGCATGCCATGCCATTAGCTATGAAGATTTCACCAGAAACACCTTCATCAGTGTGCTCTATGGTTTATTTATCAGTCTCATGAAATAAATACGCTTTACATTTGTTTCAGCTCTCCCATCAATTGGTTGAACTTACACGCTCACTGATTTGCATATTTCATCAAAACAAAACAAAAGTTGCTTGGAAATTAGTGTATTTGGATGTATGTGTATGCTATTTTGTCTTGGTAGCAAGGTTATTTTCGTAAACGAAAACTAAGACTAAGACTAAAACGATTGATGAAATAAACAATTTCGTAAACTGAAATAAAATAAAAACGTCAAAATAATTGAAAAACTAAAATGAAACCAAACTAACAACAGTTATTGAAAAACTAACTGAAATAAAATGTATCAAAAATAAATAATCGTTTTCGTAATCATTACGTTCTCATCCCTTGGTTGAAAAATATACGAGCTGTGTGGAGGTTTAGGGAAATAGTCTGCCTACCTGTAATGGCACATCACGCACATGGGGTTATCTGACGGAGAGACGCAAAGCTGTTTAAAGCCTGCACGGGTCCTGTTTGGTAAACGTGCACCAGCAGTACTTAAAGGGGTCATATGATGCGATTTCAAGTTTTCCTTTCTCTTTGGAGTGTTATAAGCTGATTGTGCATAGATAAGATCCCTGAAGTTGCAAAGACTAAAGTCTCAAAACGTGGTGTTCGGCCAATCACAGTGCACTGGGTCAGCTGGCCAATCAGAGCGGACTGCGCTTGTCAAAGGAGGGGGCTTTGTAGAAAACGAAGCGTTTGAGAGAGGCGGGGCATAGAGGACCTACAATAATGTACAGTATTTGAAAAATAATGTGTTTTTTGAACATTAAAGCATGTCAACATATTCTGTTACACCAAATACACAAAATAATGATCTTTAAAATAGCATCATATGACCCCTTTAACAGAACACCCGACCCCATTATCTGACAGCAGCACTAATTTAATTCTGTACCAGACCAGAACCGTTTGACATAAAGACCGTGCGTCGCGACCTGAACCGCACTCGCATTAAATCTATTACATCAGGTAATCAAGATTATTTATTTTATCACGTAACACAAGCAATCAAACCAACATTAGGCATTCTAAGTTGGGGCTTTAAAGAAAAACAGACATGCAGCGCAACATGATAATTAACAGAAAAAAAAAGATGAGAACGCGCATCCTTTCTGTAAACAACACAAAACTTTTGCTTAGCATCTTGTGATCACTCTGCCAGGCTTTTGAACAAATGTGCATCATACACACGCTTATATTTGAATGTTCTTTTCATTTATGAAGAATTATAAGCCTTTACTGTTAAATGTGACTGCCGTTATTGTTGAATTTCATTAGTCCCAGTTTTGATTGATGCACGGCTGTTCACGGAAAAGTGAGCAAGACACCACAGTTACAATATCATGATTATGGTTAAATAAGAAAAGACATATAACCAAATCAGGCTACATTTATTTTCATAGCCTACTAAATATCTCAACACACATCATTGGATATGACATTAAGCGCAACTTAATTGAGTAAAACAGGCTTGCCTGCTTTCTTTGGGGTATATTTGTATACTTTTACTATCTAATCAATCTCAGCATGTGTTAATTTTGTGTCGCTATATGTTTGCCTCACTAAGGTTACATTATGCCTACGTCTTTCTTCGGCCTGCGCTCTGGAAGTGATCTGTTAATTCTGCTAAACTTTAATTAAAACTGAAACTAAACTATTTAAAAACTAAATAAAAATGCGTTCACAAAATAAAAACTAAACTAAAACTAACAAAAATATGAATGAAACTAATAAAAACTAAACTGAATTTTATAGCAAATTTGAAAACGATATTAAAATAAAACTAATTAAAAAATTCAAAACTATAATAACCTTGCTTGGTAGAATAGTAGGTTGACTTCATCTGTGACCAAAGAAAGGGATAGGAGTATGAAACGATTAATTATTTTGTTTCCACATCTCCAGTGTTCTTACAGAGACAGAGAGAGAATGTACTAATAAGGCAAGAGATTTACTCTGTGCCAGCTATAATTTCACACACACATAGACGTGTCAGGCAGGAGTCACCACATAGCTTAAGGAGGTGAAGCGAGAGTGTGTATAATGAGATTCATTAGAAGATAACAGGTTTAATAGTCTTTGTATATATGTTTAGCTTTAATATTTAGGTGAATGTCTTTTCTTTTAATGCATATAATTTCAGTGTGTGTCTGTTTGTGTGTGTGTGTGTCTGTGTGTCTGTGTGTGTGTGTACCTGCTATTCCCTACATTATGGGGACCAAATGTCCCCACAAGTATAGTAATGCCAATAATGTTTGCATAATTCTTTGAGGAATAGAGTGTTCAAAAGAACAACATTGGAAATAGAGATATTTTATAACATTATAAATGTCTTTACTGTGACTTTTAATCAGTTTAATGTATCTTTGCTGATTGAAAGTATTAATTTCTTAAAATAATAAATAAATAAATAAATAAATAAAAATCTTACTGATCCCAAACATTTCAAAAGGAGTTTATATTTAGATAATCAATTGATTATTTTTCAGAGCCAACTACACATCATGGTGTGATTTCAAAATATGAATGTATGAAAGCTAATGCTACAAACATGGCTGAAGCTAAACAATCCATATGGATAAGACTGTATCCAAATGGAGAAAAAAATATTTGAAATATATTTTGAAATATATTTCAAAATAAAAAAAAAGGGCAACGTATATTTGATAAAATATGCTTCAAAATATATTTGTGTACATGTATTTTCTTCCAATGTATTTTTTTTGGTATATTTTTGAAAATAAATTTTTCAAAAAAATGAAAATTACATGTTGTGCTATATATTTCAAGCCAAGAAAATATTCACATATGTCACATTTGAAAAAAAAAAAAAACTTTATTTGTTGTCTATAACATGCAGGAACAAATAATAAAACTAAATGATAAAATACGCTTAAAATAGTATAATAATATAAATAATAAAATAATATAAACTATTTTATAAAATAAGCATTATTAAATCATTATTAATGTAGTTTTGATCTCTATTTCATGGCTATTCCATCCACATTTGCATTTAGCCTAAATGTAGGCTAAGACTGGAAATGTATTTTCTTGCCCCTGAAATACATTTTGAAATACATTTGGGATGAAGCTAAATATGTTTTCTATTTCAAAAATATATTTAATTGAGCTTCACTGTTTACAATAAAATATATTTTGGTCACAAGGTGTAGTTACAATAGCGTATGCTGAATGCTCATGCCCTGTATAAGCATCCATCTCACTGGATGGCATTGATCTCAGTACAGTCATTGATCTTTTGGTAAATGCTCTTAATGAATTCACAGTCTTACAAATGACTTCAAGCATGAACGGCTGATTTCTCATTTTGACACCGTAAACAGGATTTAGCTGAATAAACAGCAAAATGCTTCAGTTCCTTTCTTTCAGTAATAATCTGTCTTCGGCTTTATCTTTTGCTTCTCTCATTTCTGTCTTTCTTCAGATTTGGCGAGCCATGCCTGGAGAGGTTTTTCACATGCTAATGTTGGTGTGCTAACATCACTATTGCATTTACTGTTCTGTCCTCTTAAAGGGGCATTCACACTCATGGAAATTTGCATCAACAGAGTGACTGGAAGTCTCTTGAAAGAAATTTTGAATGAGCATTGACAAAGTTTTGTTTTCATTTGAGGACAGCCATGTATGGTCCCGTTCAAAGGGGAACTGCTTACCAAGGCAGTCATTATTCAATCAAAAATAAATAGAGTAAAATCATTAATATTGTAAAATATTATCACAATTTAAAATGTAAAAACTTTTTTCTGTTTTAATATATTTTAAAAAGTATTTTATTCCTGTGGTGTCAAGGCTAAATTTTTTAAAAGGTTTTTTATTATTTTTTTTTTCAAAATATATTTTTAGTGCCTATATGCTGTAATTAGCATGCCAACAGTTTGCTGTGCTTGGTCTTTAAATTTAAAAGCACTGCCACTAAAGCCATACAAATTCAGACAGATGTATTTGGCCATTCTATCAAATCTCACATTGTTTTTTTAGCATTGCACCAAGTGTTGCATTAAGACAGCATGTCAAGTTAACAATAGTCCAATTTTTAAAATGCGTTTTGAGACTCCAGTGTTCTGTTCCGGTCCAGTGTGCTCCGTCTAGTTGTTTTTGAAAACAAGACGTCTTATGTAAGCACTTGGGGTCAGGTGACTCCAACACCAGTCTACTTATACAGGATGTCCAGTTGAGACAGATTGGTCCACTATTCTTTTAGGCAACCATCTAACTAGTCAATTTTGAAAGTACTATAGTCTAGTACATCCCTAGTTTGAGTCAGACCCATGGTAGTCTGAATGTAACATCACACCCTGATTGGTTAAAATGTTGTTAAAGATCAGTCCATTATAGTGGACACTGTGAGGTTTAAAATGTGGACTAAATGTGACAATCTTTAATGCATATTGTTTCTTTCTTTCTCTCCTTCTCTTTGTTTGCTTCTATTTCCTTGTGATCCTCTTGTTTTTTTGTTCTTTCACCTAATTTGTTTGTCCTCTATGTTGCTTTCTGGCCCTCTTGTCTCTCTGTCCATCTGTCTTTCTGCAGTAGACTCGGTGTGTGTGGATGAGGCTGTGAGAGGGTCAGTGTATCAGGATGACGATGAAAGGCTTGTCCTCCAGCCGCAGCCACCACCACACACTCACACAATGTGACCCATCCTACGAATCTTTGACCCTCCGCCACGACCGACGACCTTATGTCCTTAACCAGGCCCACCCGACCGACCACAGCTTCTATGGGTGCCAGTCCGATCTGGCCAGCAGCACATTTCCCAGCCGACATCACGGCTCGCATCACGAGCTTAAGGACGAATGCGCCATAGTGCCGTATGTGGGACCGGGCGGCATAGCCAGAGGAACTGGGAGTGGGTGCGGCCCAGGCAGCTCGGCTGCCATCCCATCATCCCTGCTGGAGAAGTTTGACCAGCAGCAACCAGTGAGGAAGGACGGATATCACACTTTGCAATACAAACGGACAGCGGCGCTGGAACACCAGCGTAGCGACAGTCCTGGGCGTATACGCCACCTCGTGCACTCCGTCCAAAAACTGTTCACCAAGTCCCATTCCCTGGAAGGTCCCAGCCAACGCAGTCTCAATGGAAATTACCCCACCATCCCAGCTGATGCAATGGCTACGGCTGCATCCCACCCAAATGTTTCCACCATGACTGTAAGCACCCTACACAAGCAGTCTAGCAACAAGCGAGGGAAGAACAAGGAACGCAGTCGCTCCGAGCCCAAACCTCGCGCACGGACACCCGGGTCAGGTTACTGGAGCTCGGACGACACTCTGGACCGAGAGATCTGCCTCTACCACCAGCATCAACCCTCTGGAGTCATGACCATGGGCCGGCATCCGGACAAATCCCAGTCCCACTACTTCCTGGGACAGAGCTACAACACACTAGGTGGGGGACACTCGTCCCTGAAGACCTCACGCAGCAACAATGATGTTGGAAGTTGCTCCACTTGCTCCAACACCACAGGAGGCGCTCTAACTTTTGGTGGCCCGAAGTCAGTGGACCAGGCTGGGTCACTCGTCAAGAAGAGCTCCTGGTCAAGCACGCTAACGGTGAGCAGGGCCCGAGAGGTGTACCAGAAGGCCACTGTCAATATTGATAAAGCTCTAGTCAAAGCACCGACCTGCCAGCAGGGAAGAACCTGCCAGTTTTTACAGGTAGGAGAGAGATTTCTCCCCTCTTCATCACCACGACCATCATCACCTTTGTCATATCATCAGTGTCATCAGGTCAGCTTCCACACCTCATTCGTTTCTGCTGAGGAGTCATGTGCATTTGGTTTCTTGGTGTGGAAGGTGTGACATCTCTTCATCTTTGTTTGTCTTCTGCTTCATCTCTCTCCATGTTTCCAATTTTTCAGTGCATGATCTTCCTACTGTGTTTGCATGTTTGTGAAGAGCAAACATATTGCATGCATCTGCATGTCTTAGTCTGAGCATGTTATAGGGGCCGTTCACATAGGATGCTTTATGCATCTGTCCGTTTAGTCATTTTTTTTCTTTGATAAAATACTAGAACGTCTTTGACCATTTTGATCCATCTTGCTGGGTTTTAAATGTTTCTATGAAAATATGGTAGACTGCAGCTTACAAACTCACAACTCAGTTGCGTAATAAACGTGCTATAGTGATGATTTTGACCGTTGTGATGTGTCTAGCTGGTTTGTAATTGTTTTGTATGAAAAGTGCTAAATGGACATCTGTGACCGGGACAATTCGTGATTAATTTTTAATATATATTTTTTAATGAAAATTTGATGGATTTGATTGACCTTTACAATGTGTGTGTTTCATTGTTGCACTGTTTTTCTATAAAATCATGTGCTAGACATACATATTGGTCACACTTTAGTTTGGGGACCAATTCTCACTTCTAACTAACTACTAACTATGAATTTTGCCTCAATAAACTCCTAATTTGCTGCTTGTTATTAATAAATATTAATAGTTAGTAAATTAGTTAAGTTTAGATATAGGGCAGGATTAAGGGATCTAAACTATGGACATGCGGAATAAGACATTAATATGTGATTTATAAGTAATAATAAACAGCCAATATGCTAGTAATATGTATGCAAATCAGTGACTAGTTAATAGTGAGAATTGGTCCCTAAACTAAAGTGTTACTGATATATTTAACAACTATCATGCATTGTGCAGTTTTATTCCATTGGGCCTCTGTCTAGCTGTTTTTAATACAAGAACACGTCCTGTATGGATGGTCCATTACAATGCCAGTGTGTTTGAATAGGCTCAGGACTGACCTGCTGTGTTTTAGCGGAACTGAATGTGACAGATTAAAATGAACTCGGAGACCATGGCTTGTGTTTTGTTTTCTTTGTTGTGGACTAATGCTGTGTGATGGAGAGATCATAAACAAATAAGAGAAGGATAAGTGAGAAAAGTTTCATCCACAGCCCTGGAGATCAGCGATGTTTGTGTGAAGATTAAGAGAAAAATAATGGATTTTGTTTGTCCTTTTGCTATCTCTCTCTGTCTCTTATGTTCCCTATGTGACACAGTTAAGTTTTAGAAAAAAGAAAGTGATGGAGAAAGCAGAAAGGGAGGGAGGAGAGCAGAGGAAAAGAGTGCGGTTCATATATCCTCTGCTCTCTTCCCTCCCTTTCTGCTTTCTTCATCACTTTCTTTTTTCTGAGACTCAAATATTATATTATATATTACATATATTATGTAGAGAGTAATATTATTATATTATTATTATTTAATGTAAACTTTGCACCATTTAGAGCAGCAATTAAATTTTAGTTATTCATTTAAGTTTAATCTTTCTAACCTTTTTCATTCTTTCTTTCTTTCTTTCTTTCTTTTTCTTAATAATAATCTAATAATAACATACAATTATTGTTGTTTTTGTTATATAAATATAAGTTTTTATAGAAAGAAAGAAAGAAATGGTAATAAAATATTACATATTAAACTTCAGTGGAAAACTTCAAATTAAGTGCTGATTTCAATATGTAAATCAAAGTGGTGCAAAGTTTAAATTTAATTACTCATGAAAAAAATCAACTTAAGCATTATTTGTCAGCATCATAGACTGTGGTCAGCATGCGCGCCGAAGTGGAAATGGGTACTGAATTCACCGGAACACCGACATTGTAGGCTACTCTCCCAGAATCAGGAAACAGTCCTCCGTAAAATGCGTTGCACACATCTGAATATTTGGATTGAACTGTTCTGGAACAGTGTTGTAAATACAACTTAACCACTGATTTCTAGTTGTGTCCTCTTTTGGAAGACCAAACAAAGTAGTTTCGCTTTCACAACAAAACACAGCGTCTCCACGACATGGCGGCGGTGGCAACATTACTACAGTGAGAATCAAAGTTACGCCTTCTTTCTTTGCGTATACATTTGGGCGGTGCTATGCAAATCTTCCCACACAGTGACGTAGACATGTGGGGGGGGTGTTTAAACGAGGCGTTTTAGGAGGGCGTGGACGAGTCTTAACTTTTATAAAGAATATCTCTTTGGGTTTGAGACTTTAGTCTTTGCAACTTTAGGGATCTTATCTATGCACGAACAGCTTGTAACACTCCAAAGAGAAAGGAAAACTTGAAATCGCATCATATGACCCCTTTAAACTCTTTAAAATATATAAAAAAAAATATATTGTTATAATGAAAATCCTTTTTTCAATGCCAAGTACAAGGGACTAGTGAAGTGTGTGTGAGAGAGAGAGAAAGAAAAGAGAAAGTCAGGGAGAGAAAGAGAGAAGAAGGGTAAGCGGAGAAGACGTTGCAGATAATGGAGACAGGAGAGATAGAGGAGCTTAATAAAAAGGCAGAACTCCAAGGAGAGCTGCCAAAGTGCCCGTATCTGATCCCTCATCTGCAGTAATGAGAGTCAGTCTGCTAATAGAGTTAGCTTGACGCTGACTTGCAGTGGATAACTCCAGAAGACTTAGTCGCCAGTAGCTACTTTATTGCTAAAGTCACGGTCATCCTCATAGCAATCATAGTTTTCAAGCAGAAGTGGCATTGAGGTACTTTGTTTCCGTTCTGCGTCTCTGCACTTTTTCCTAATTTCCATCCTCTACTCTTTAAAAAAAACATAGCACTCAGTAGAGAGTGGATCCTTTCCCCTGGTCTGAACAATATCTCCATTTGTGCCCCTTTATCTTCTGTTTTTGGTGACGGAGGATTGGTTGTTGGCTTCGCCCCCTAGTAGAGCATGTGAAAAAGAGGGGAACGTGTGAAAGAATTGCGTTAGCATGCGTTGCACACCGCGGAGCGAGCCTGAAGCCGGGCTCACTAGTTCTCCTTCACTGACCACTAAAAATGGTGGAAGATTTTAAAAGAAACCGAGCCGTGCTGGATAATATGAAATGATTGTTATTCATCTCAGAGAGGTGAGAGGCTTTTGAGATGAGTTTTTGAGAAGTGCACATTACGTGCGTCGTACATGAATAGTGCAAGTGGGTGTAAAATGTTTTCAAGATCATTTTCAGATAACGATGTTGGTTGTGCAGAAGTCAATATTGCTTTTTTGTAGTGGGAGCAGCAGGTGTTAGTGTGTGGGAACGGGTTGCATAAGGCCGTGCGTGTTATGTCAGGATGCGCTTTTAGCTTTTTAAGAGTGTATTATCTGATGTATCAAAGAGTTTTTATGTTATAGAGATAATGTGGGAAGAGATTGAGAAGTGATAGTCATAGCTGCGTCATCTGTAGTTCAGCAGGGAGGGGTTCTGGTTAATACATTAGAATAAGGACACAGTAAGCATTTGTGATGTAGTAAGTCATTTCTAAAGCATTATTTATGTTTTTAATATTTATGCATGGACAGTTGCAATGCATTACTCTTGATTCATGTGTAAGGTTTGGGACATATACTATGTAACTTTTTAAATATATCAGTGGTAAATGATTTGTAATTGGTTATTATTAGATTTAGAAAAAAAAGTATTTGATTTAGAAAAAAAGATTTACATAGTATATGCAAATATTTTATTCACATTTATAAACATTTTAAATAATACATATATAATGAAACATTTAAACAATATAAATATTTTGTACACATGAAAACATAATGAGGTTACTTGTCTTCAGGTTTTCATCCATTACATTTTTACAGTATTTTTGTATAATATTTCAATTTGATTCTATGATTATTATTTTTTTTTTTTCAGTTTTACATGTTTTCAGGTTGTTTTGTTTGTTACATCTTTTCAGAAGTTTGTTGATCAGTGTTGGTAAGAAAAAAAAATCACTGCACGTTTTGATTTGACAAAACATTTTACTTTAATTTTGAAGTCAGCTATTAAACTTTCAAAAACAACATTTTTTACTAACACACAATACCCACTGTATATATATATATATATATATATATATATAATAAAAATATCAAAAGCACATAACAAATTTACTAAAACTAAAAATTTAAGTGACATGAAAATTAAAATGAAAACTGAAAATGTTAAAATGAAATCTAATTTAAAATATTCATAAATAATAATATATAATACTTAAACACTGCAACCACATTTATATATAAACATATTAATAATTACATTATATTATCTAATCATTTTATTTAATTTATTATCAAATTAATTCTCTAGTATCTGTCTACATCATGAACTGCTTTATTGCTTTATCGTTATTATTATTATGTCGTTATTATTAATTGTTGGAGGCAGATCAGGTGTTTATGAGAAGCTAACATTCTCTCACTCTCTGCAGGTTCCTCAGGATGAGTGGGGTGGCTTCTCGTCTGTGGGTCAGTATGACGAGATCCCGTGCAGGAGGATGAGGAGCGGCAGCTACATCAAGGCTATGGCAGAGGAGGACAGCGGAGACTCGGACTGCAGCCCTAGGTTACTTGTCTTCAGGTTTTCATCCATTACATTTTTACAGTATTTTTGTATAATATTTCAATTTGATTCTATGATTATTATTTTTTTTTTTTCAGTTTTACATGTTTTCAGGTTGTTTTGTTTGTTATATCTTTTCAGAAGTTTGTTGATCAGTGTTGGTAAGAAAAAAAAATCACTGCACGTTTTGATTTGACAAAACATTTTACTTTAATTTTGAAGTCAGCTATTAAACTTTCAAAAACAACATTTTTTCATTTTAGTGTGTTAAAATGATTTACAGTCTTTATATGCATTTATAAATTATTTACTATTTGGTGAGTTAACAGCTGTTTACAAAACATTTATCCATTCATTTATTTTATTATTATATATACATAAATATTTGATAATAATTTGATAAAATAAGTGAATCTATGGCTTGTTGTCCTATATAAAAATAGTTATGAACGTTACCATTAACCACTGAAACAAAAATGAGAAATGTTGCCTTGCCAACTAACTGTAATAAATTAGTTGAAGTTGAAGTAATAAAATTTCTAAAACTAAAATAAAATTAAAGTTATTTATATACAGTGGGTACAGAAAGTATTCAGACCCCCTTAAATTTTTCACTCTTTGTTATATTGCAGCCATTTGCTAAAATC